CCTTGAGGCAAGACAAGTTGTAAATTGGAGAGGATTTTCTTATCAAAACGAATTATCAGCAAACCAGAGAACAATTAATTTGTAAGTAATTGGTTGAAGGTGGGTAATAAAGATAGAGGGTAGATTTGTACCGGTCAAATACAGAGTAAAATCACGACCTCAGGGTGGTACATGGTGAGATTAGATTTATCTATATTGTTTATTTATAACATCTCTTTTAAAATAAATTATTGAAAGTTGTGGTGTATTAATTATGGGAAACTCGAGCGTTTTCAAACTTGACATAAATATAGATATAAGTTATTCATATGTATCACCAGTGGATATATATGTATACCTATGTTGGCTATCTCCTCAGCAAAGTCTTTTGTGTTAGGGTGTCTTTTGTATGATTTACACCTTCGACAATGAATATTATTCTTCAGCAAAACTACATATGATATACTTGCAAATGAATATCTATCGGCAAAACTTAGTATATTCTCACACGTTTATATTTATAAGGAGGTAAGCTATATATGTAGATCATAGACATATTCATCCACCAGATATACAATTTATTTATCTCTCATATACATCACTGCATATTCACTGAATAGCTATCCAAATCTCAGGTAATAATCGCAGATGCAATCGCTATTCCCAAAGTGACACTGACAGGCGAGAATAGTCTGATGAAAATGAATAAAAAGGAAATGTTATTTTAATATTCTTTTCTCGGTGGATTCAGTGCTTGATGTCACAAAGGTGTGATATTCTTCATCTTATTAAAAATTTACAGGAATATTATTAATCCCCTGTAACAATGTCACTGTATCTGGAAATTAATTTGTAGGAAGTTTATCATTGAGCGACGTAATAATGAAACGATATAAATAACAATATTACAAAATAAAAATTGCAGTCACGGGGTAAATGTGACTTAATTAATTTGATTGGATGTAAAATTAAGACTATGTGATTATCATCTGGAAATTAAAATGAAAACACGCAAATTGTAATGAGAAAGTCGATTCAGGGCCAGTGTTGTTCTGATGTAAACGATGTTTTCAATGATCAGAATTTTACACACGTCACCATCTCTCTTGTTCCTCGCTGTCGTTTGGGAAATACAGGGCGGGAAATTGGTCTAAGTCACGAGATTCTTCGTGTCGGGAGATTAGAACGAAACAGTTTATGTTTCACACTGATATGTTGTCTTCATTAAAAATGAATGACTTGATAAACGTCGACGATTGAGTAGAAGATCAAAAACAGACTAGAAATTAACTGATTTGATTTCCAGATTTAAAGCAAACGGATGATTTGTCTATATTTGTAAGCAGAAGGATGTCTGCATTTAGCGAATAGCCACGATTTAGGTGGCACGACCAGTACCAATGCTATGGCTCTGGTAAGAAACTGACATAGTTTGCCTTAATCATTAAAGCGTATTTTCTAGGGGTTTAAGTGCAAATTGTCTCTGGAAAGTCTTCTGTTTCTATAAAGAAGGCTACAGGCTGCTTGTAAGGGAGATAATTACAAAATCTAAATGTGAAAGTATAGGCCTAAATGTCATGCATATTTTAAATTTCAACTGTAAATAATGAGCAAAGTACGCGACCTATCGTTTCCATTGTCAGCAACTGGGGTCTTATTCAAATTGGGTACAGCTTCTATAAAGTTGTTCATTATATTTTACGATTCGGTGGGTTTATGCAGCATGGAGGTAACGGAGCAGAAAGATGTTCCACCAGTTCAAGCGGAATAGTAAAATGAATCGAATTTTACTGTCGTCTAAAACTGAAATATTGCCATCTCCCAGAGGAACTATTTTGAAGGCTTGTTTCCACTTGGTTGAATTTTACATGCTGTAATTTGCTTGTGAAGGATCAGACGACTGCTTTTAAAATATCAAACTGATTAAAGGTCATTAACTATGTGACCTTTCCTATCATTTATCTTTGAAATTCTCGCGTGCATGTGAGAACAGATGACGGTTCGTGTGTCGTCATCAAATATGACATCATTTTTGACGCTGGTGGCACGTGTTGTCTCAGAGCATGTTGCAAATTTGTTTGCTGTTTGTTTACAACGTGCACGTGTACCGAGCATTCATTTGGCGCCGGAGAAAAGGTTGATAAACAAGTTAGAGAGTTAGTGCGTCGTAAAGTAAACTTTATTCATTACAATTTCATTTTCTCTATTTTGACCACACCAGTAGTACTTTTAATTTGTCTCTCTGTCGGTAGACGGAGCTTTGTTCTGCACTAGCTGGTCACGCTTCAGAGCACGCGGCTCTGTGGAATTGTATCAATATTCGGAACAACTCAAAAGAAAAATTGGCAAAGAAAAATTTGTAAATCAAGGAAATGAAAATCAAAGCTGTGTCGATCTCATTTCCAGTTTCAGAGATTTTTCAAATAAACCTGAAGTCTTGTTATTGCGAACAAGGAAAATATTATTTTGAACAAAACAAGCGAGATTCAGCGTTTGATGATAGTTAATATAGAAAAAGCTCTAAGATAACTCGGGGCTGATTTTATTTTTCCTTCTTCAATGTTTTACATCATAATAATACGAGGATGAATAGAGACTGTGAGTGATAATCAACTGGGGTATACAAGATGATGAAAGAAATTATTAAATTATATTTCACTATGTTTATTATAGCTCACGGGTTAATATCGACCCGCTCCCATCTCGCCCCATCCATGTTCACAACATCAATAGTGACAAAATAAACCATAATGTCCCACTTACAAACTCTACCATGTGGAAATTGTGAATAAAAACATAATTAAGGAAACATGATGAAGTTTTTATTTTACGTTCGAATCGTTTATTAAATGTAAATACACCAACCTGGATTATAATATAAAATATAATGTGTTATAATAGGATGAAAAAAAAGAAATTAAAATAAAAGAAATAACCACATGGTGTAAATCACAAATATACAAAATATAAATCACTTTTAATTGTCCACCGAAATCAGATATTTCTCTGCATTTATATTTGAAAGTATAAAAGGTTTTCTCCTATTGTTTTGAATGAGGTACGATTGTATATTTTGACTAAAATAGAATTTTATTTCACGTTCTATTGCCCGTGTTAATTGTTGAGCAGAATAAATATCATTAACAAATCAAATCGGTTCTATAATAGACATCATCTTTCCAGTAAGCTACATTGGGTGGAGGGCAATAAAATTAGGTAGCAATTTCTTTTCGTTATTTTTGTTTTCGGTCTCCATAAATGTAATCTAATTTTAAGTACAGTGGGTTGAAGGAAAAAAACTAAATTCGACTTCAAGAGGATCTTGAATGAGAAATATGGACTATATGGTGGGCCTAGAAGTGATTGTAAACGAGAAATTTTCTACTCGATAAACGCTGATCTCCAGATTGAAATGATACCAGATTTTAAACAACCTAACACAACACGATGGTATACCATTCCTGGGTTTTATCACTATTTCACCTGATTATGAAAATGTAAATTGTTGAAACATTATGTAAAATAAAACCCAGGATATGGAAAAAATAATATCCTTGATATTTGGTACCGTAATGTAATAATTACCCTTGAAAGGAACATGTTTGACCGTTTGAATTTTTAAACTAAGCTAATCAGTAATAGTATTAACAGCTCAGCGTCGAAATCCATGTCTGAATTATCCGCGTTTGAATGTTTAAACTGTTTTATACTGTTTTGTTTTATATATGTTTTGAGATACTGCCATAAATAGAATAGACAATTCATAGTTTGGAGTATTTTAAAAGTAATTGTGCGATTTTCGTACCGGTACATTCCTGGTACTTAACATTGACCTATAATCATGATTCAAACCAACCCCGGAAATTGGCCAGGGTTAATTTACACATTGGGATGAAAATAGTTAATATCCAATATATACCACGTTTATCACAGATTTTTTGTGCATTTGGGAGTTTGGTGAAATATACATAAAGGGAAACAATCCAGTTATCAAAAGAAATCCAGATGACAAAGAATTTCTGGAAACGAAATTCAATACGATCAATAGATAGTTGAAGGGAGGTAACTACATTTTAAGTTCAGACTACAGTTCATGTTGCAAATCCACTTATTGCAAACAAACATCTTATAGAAACCAGGTAAATGCCTGCAATATTCGAACATTGTTTGGCATAGGATTTAACTGCATCCCATTAGCTAAATGTATCGGAAGTCTTTTGTTTTGTGTCTCATGTTATTCTTTGATGTCTGTTTCAGATTAAATATTTGTGGTCCGAATCCATTTTATACACCCTTTTTAACTTCTTTAAGAAAGTGCGTAAGGGGGCGTAATTAGACAGAGAACAGAAAACATAATAATCAAAAATAATTCAATTTTGGATATAATGCCAAGAATATTGACTTGGTGTCATAGACAACATTTGTATCGTACACTGAGAATAAAATCTGCACTACAAACGCCCTGTAGTGGGTTAATCTCATCTGCAATTCGACTCGGTTCTGAAGCTGTAAAAGATGGAAAGGTAGAATCTCTTACCCAAGACCACAATAATATTCTTTTCTCATCTGGATAATTCAATTATTATTTGTTTGCTAAAGTATCATAATTAGAACCACATTTGATCAGTTTTAAACATAGCTATTTATTGGTAGCCAACTTTTATAGAGACTTTGTCAGCTTCAGGCCTAGCCTATCTGTAGTCTTATGGTACAACTTATCTATGTCCTTTTGTATAAGCCTACTATTACTGGGCGTTTCTGACAACTTTACAGATGTTAAAACTATAGTTATGGACTGATAATATTTTCAGGTAAAAGGTCCAAAATTCCAGAATGAAAATGGTAAGTAGATATATGGCTTATTCATGTAATGATGCCTATCTAGTAGGCTACAGCTATAGACAAACGGTCCCAAATGTCCATTATTTAAATCGTACTAACACTGACAGAAATCAGCTCTCTGATAAAAAGTAAGGTATGAGTATGAGAGATTATCTACTTTTGCCTTATCTTTATGCAATATGAATTTAAATTTTTTGCCAATTTTAGAGTTTCCACAGAAATATGATCCAAAGTATGTTGAAGAGAAATGGTATGATTGGTGGCTATCACAGCAATTCTTTAAACCATGTTTGGTAAGAGATTTAGAAATAAATGATGTATAACAAATATTTCAAAATTTTTAATATTTTAACACTATTGTCTTTTGGTCATAAAATTCATGATGCCAAGGTATGAGCTAGAAAAGCCCCTTTGAGTAGCGTAATTGATAACCATGTAAGTAATGATGTCAATCATATACTACCGGTACCGGTAATAGCATTATGGTATGATTATATCTCTTGAAACACCACTTATGCCTGTTGGCTGTTTTCATTACATTTTGGTTTGAATCTGCTTATCGTTCAGGATGCCAAAGACAAGAAAGAAATATTTTCTATGGTATTGCCTCCTCCTAATGTAACAGGAACACTACATTTAGGTCATGCATTAACTAATTCTATACAAGATGCATTAGTCAGATGGTAAGTGTTCATTTTTAAACAAAGTCATAATGAAGTTGGAACAAACCCGCATTCCCTTAATGCTTAGCAAATTACTATCCACTGAACTATTCCTTTTTGTTTTTAGTCTTATTTTTAGAACAGAATATGTCAAAAATCAAATTGATACTTTTTTACTAAACCATTAATGATTTGCCATATAAATGTGAACTGTCATTTTAAGAACAGTACTTGTCAAACTTAAAATGATGTGGTATCATTTCTTGAAACAAAAATTAATTGCCATCGTAGGAACAGAATGCATGGTAAATCTGTGGTATGGGTACCAGGTAGTGACCATGCTGGTATAGCAACACAAGTTGTCGTAGAGAAACGGGTATGGAAAGATAAGAAACAGACTAGACATGATGTTGGTAGGGAGAAGTTTATTGAGGAGGTGTGGAAATGGAAAAATCAGTAAGTAGGCCTACTAATCTTATTGGTCTTATTTAGCTTTTATTTTCAAATGGCATTGCACAAAGGTTTGTAATTGATCTAAAATTTGTGTTTTAAAATATCCACTTATGCTCATTGGAATGAAAATGATCAAAATATCTTAATTTTTCAAAATGTTCCTTTAGACTAAACTATTGGTTATTAATTCATTAAGAAGTTATTGATAAAGATGATCTGATATTGAATTTCTAATTTGTAGAAAGGGTAATATAATTTCTGATCAAATGAAGAGACTTGGATCATCTTTAGATTGGAGTCGAGAATGTTTTACCATGGACAAGGTAGAGATTTAATATAAAAAAGTATCATAGATTGCCAATGTCTGTTTGTTTGTTATTGGTTGACATATCACTGGTTTGTCTTCATCTTTTTAACAAAGTTTTCTGTTTTTCATAGAACATTGTTATCACTTATGATATAAGCATAATAAGTTTTTTTAATGATTGTTTTCTAACTCCTGATGAATCTTTGCATATATCTTTGTTTTCAGAGATTATCTGATGCAGTAAATGAAGCCTTTGTCAGATTACATGATGAAGGTCTGATATATAGAAGTAATAAATTAGTCAACTGGTCCTGTTCCTTACAATCAGCTATATCTAATATTGAGGTAATTAAACTGAAAATTTTTGTGTGTCCGAAATTTTATTTTTTCAGAGATTATATGTCAAGACTATGAACACCCAATTCTGTTTTACATAAAGAATTTCTTTATGATTGATTTAATTGATGAACTATTATTTACTTTTTACAGGTAGAAAATGTAGAAATTGAAGGGAAACAGAAATTCATTGTACCAGGATATGAAAAACCTGTTAATTTTGGTGTTATGACTTTGTTCAAATATCCTGTAGAGAATTCAGGTAGGGCATAATTCCAAGAAGAAGTAGAAATTTTCTTGATTAAGTCTACTGTTTGTTCATTTTCACTTTCATACTTCTAACTAGTGTTAATTACATTACATATTGCTTTTAAGGTCTGGAGCTAGTTTTGATTGAAATATACATTAACACATGAGATCAATGGCAGATAAGCCTCCTATTAATTATTAAGCGAACACCATGGATATACACATTTTGGTTCCATTGGCATTCCAAGATACTGATCTTGTAGTGTATAAATACTATTTTTAGATGAGAGTATAACAGTAGCTACAACCAGACCAGAAACTATGCTAGGCGATGTTGCAGTAGCTGTTAATCCAAATGATTCTAGATATCTACATCTACACAATCACCATGTCATTCACCCAATAGATAATAGACGTTTACCTATTATAACTGATGAGTTTGTAGATAAGGAATTTGGGACAGGTGAGAAATTTTCATGAAACTCTTTAGGTCTGGTTGTAATATTGGTTAGGATAAGTGTTAGTGTTTGAAAGTTAAGATGATCCTCAAAATCTGATAATTGACTTCAGAAACTTCACTAATGTGTCATGTGAATACTTTATGAGAATGTTTTAAGAAATAGCACTCTTGTTGGGCTTTGAAATATTTACAGTACTTTAAGTATTAAAATATGAATTACACATCACCCTCATTTCTTGGCAGGAGCTGTGAAAATTACTCCAGGTCATGATTATAATGATTTTGATATTGGACGGAAACATGACCTTCCTGCACTAACTATTATTGATATCAATGGAAGAATGACCAATACAACAGAAGAATTTGATCAGAAAAGAAGATTTGATGTCAGGTGGATGGTTGTTAAAAAGCTGAAAGACCTTGGCCTTTTTATTGAGGAAAGATCACATGCAATGACTTTACCTATGTGCAGGTTTGGATATTTTTCATTTGTAAATTCAGGGTCATAGGAACCAAAAAACATGTTCACAGATGAAATGTGGGTCACATTAACATGACAATATAAACAAAGAATATAGGAAAATTCACTTATTGGATGTCATCTTGGAGATTGGATAAATATTTTTGCTAATGACATATGAATCAACTATTCCTAATTAGCAATTTAACCTTAGAGAATAACACAATTTTTTCCAGTCGCTCTAAAGATATAATAGAACCTTTACTTAAAGAACAATGGTATATTAACTGTATAGATATGAATAAGAAAGCTATTCAGGTTTGTGGTATAGTTTGATATTTAAATTAACTACCTCCCTTTACCTACTTCAGACAACAGTAAAATTAAGATATATAATGCAACCATTATTTCTTACAGATAGTTTATGTTATTTAAGTTTTAAAGTAGATGGTTCTACATTAATCATTTCCCTTTATTATTTGCTTACAAATATTTGACTTATTTTTCCAGTCTTTACAGAATGGAGAACTGAAAATTGTCCCGAAAAATTATGAGAAACATTTAATTCAGTGGCTAACAAATACTGAGTATGTTTTTTATTTTGTTCTTTATCCACTCCTATATTTATCATTAATTATGATAAGATTTATGTACATAAAGAAACTTTAGGTACCGGTATATGGATGTTTTGATACTTTTTCTTAATCTATTAACCCAACATCTCACATACATATACAATCAGTTTCATGAAGACAATAAATCATATCACAATAAAGAAGAAGCTAAAGATAAAAGATGTCTTTTGCCTTCAAGTACAAACTGTTGCATGGTACATGGGCAGATAACTTTCCCACTGAGCTCAGACTTTCATCAATAAAAAAGATTTGTTGGATATTGTAGAGATTGGTGTATATCAAGACAGTTATGGTGGGGTCATCAAATACCAGCTTATAGACTTATATCTCCTAAACAGGTAACAAATCGCTTATAAGTTACTGAAAACATCATGAAGTGAGTAAATGTGTATATATGTGATCCCATTTTCACAAAGTCAAATATTCTGTGTGTTTGAAACTGGACTTGATGACTGAGGGTTGTACATATTGATTGTTTTCTGAATAACTATTTGGGTATTTATAATATTTGTATAAAAAAGCACAGAAGTAGCTTTATTTACAGTTTCAAATGCACAGCTTTGTGAACATTCAAGCAAGCTATTTTTTCAGGAAAAACCCAACTTTAGATTTTTATTTGGCCGTGTGAGTGGAAGTATTTCTTATGGTGCAATTCCCCTTTTAAAATCATTCAGATCTTGTGTTTTATTGATTCTAGAGTTGTGATCTGTGGATCAGTGGAAGAAATGAGATGGATGCTAAACAAAAGGCAGCTAATAAACTTGATATATCTGTTGACTATGTAGAGGTTGAAAGAGGTATGCAATGAACATTTTGTTTTTGATATGCCCATATTATAATGTGATCGTATATTGTTGTTGTCTCTGCCAGTTTTCATCCAATTTAAATGAAATTTGGTGTGATCATTTATCATGATGAGATCTTGGTCAAGTTCGAATTGTAAAATTTTTCAATGAATGGTTTTTGAGTTATTGCCCTTGACTTAATAAATATGTTAATGTCTTTGATTAAATCAACAATATCAAATACAAATTATAATTTTAGTATGATTTGACACAGATTGGCGACCTACTTGATATACGTGTACTGAAAATGTAACAGGAAAGTATCTTGCTAGGCAACCACTTGTTATGTTTTTATTAACTGATGTGTAAAAAAAACTTTTCAGTCTGTAACAACTTGAACTTCAATGTGATAATTGTGCCTGTAGAAAATGTATTAAAATTGTTTTTCTTTTCCTTCTAGATGAAGATGTATTAGACACATGGTTTTCATCAGCTATATTTCCCTTCTCTGTTCATGGTTGGCCTCAACAGGTATCATACTTTAACTAACACACCTTCCCAATCCCTTTTGAATATTATTTTGCAGATATCTGCAAATCTAAGAGAAACATATAAGCCTACTTCAACAGATTTTATTTTTGGGTATATTTTGAACTATAGTGAGATTTCATTTGAATGTAATCAATCTACTAAGTTTTTGAGAATATTATATGATTTATTTATATTGTAGAATGATACTCTATCTAGATATTACCCTAACAGTCTACTAGAAACTGGTAATGATATATTATATATGTGGGTAGCTAGAATGGTGATTTTAGGACAGAAACTTACTGGTCAACTTCCCTTTAATCAGGTAAAAAGTATTTTATCTCACAGCAGAAGTCCTGTATGATCAGTTAAAAAAAATTCCATTGCTGAGGAATATTTAAAAAATTGGAATGATATTGAAAAGTTTTTATCAAATATGATTCATTAGAGATTAGTTACTGCTTAAAACTGAAGTGAAAAAATTTGAATCAGGTTTTATGAAGTTGCCTTGAGTTGACTTGCCAATTTTATTTTGAATAATCTTCATGATAGGTTTTACTACATGGTATATTAAAAGATGCTTATGGTAGAAAAATGAGTAAATCTTTAGGTAATGTTATAGATCCAATGGATGTCATTCAGGGTGTTTCACTTCAGGTAGGTAATCCTTCAATTGTTAGCACTGGAATAATCTTAGGTTACTACATGCCAGATGCTGGAACTCCTCTCAGAACAATAGGACACCAAACAAGTGAAGGACCCAGTGGGGATGCAGGAGAAAATATTTACCCCCTAACAACCATTGGGTTTACAACACTTCCAATTTGGAAACTGTGCTGACAGTTGTCCCAACATTAATTCAGTCTACCGGCTATCTGTACTCCACAAACCAGGAGGTTGACGTCCCCACTCCACTAAACTCCTGAAAGTTCTAATGACCAGCTAGAAACACTGTGTTGGAGGTTTATATTTGGGATCTTGTTTATTCCATTTCTGCTGTGATCAATAATTTCATATCTTTGTCTATTCAGCAACTGATAGAAAAACTAAAAGACAGTAATTTAGATGAAAAAGAGATAAATAAGGCAGAGCAGGGAAATAAAAAAGAATTTCCTACAGGAATACCAGAATGTGGTGCTGATGCCTTAAGATTTACTCTCTGTTCTCATGATTTTAAAGGTAACAATGTCTTGAATTTAATAGTTTGATACCTGTTATTGTTTGTTATCGCAATCTTGACACCCAATATTAAATTATACACAGAATATATTAACTTGGTTTAAGTGCTAAATGAGCTAATATTCAGTAACTCGATTTAATCAACACCGTGATATACTCATAGACTATTAGAAGGATAGTGTGAATTTTTATTTCAATATATAGAAAATGTTCATGTGTTTTTTTTTTAAGATTTTCCAAACTGTAAAGAATATTACTAGGGTATATGGATATTATATTTGGGTTCCCTTTACAAAGTTTAATAATGTAATTATTTATATAAAAACACAATTTTCAGCTGGAGAAGTCAGCATAGATAGAACTCTGTTTAAAAGTAATAGACATTTCTGTAATAAAATATGGCAAGGTTTTAGATATATTTTGTCTAACTTTGGTGATGATTTTATACCATCCTCAGACTTTCAGGTTAGTTTGTAATAACATCGTAATGAAATATTTAAAGATAGATATCCCAAACAAAATGTCCCGTTTATGTTCTACAATAAGATTTCAAATATTAAATATATTCTACATCTAGAGCTAAAAGCTTAGATCCTGATTACAGTTAAGTGTCCTTAAAACAGCTTTTACTGCCTAAAACACATAATTTACCTCTGTGATTGACTTATAATTGGTCTTGATACAGATAATAGTACAGTTTGGTATATTAATACTATAATCAATTATTGCAAGATATTTTTGAATATGATCTGTTTGTGTTATATTTCAGATCACAGACAGTGAAAGTCTTATAAACAAATGGATCATCAGTCAACTGAGTAACTTGGTTCTAACATGTGATAAGAATTTTAAATCTTATGACCTGCATCAAGTTGCTTTATCTTTACACCAGTTCTGGGTATCACAGTTCTGTGATGTTTATCTGGTAAGCATGTAGAACAAAGAGAAAATCTTCTCAACAGTGACTAGCTTATTTCAACTAATTCCTAAATCATTGCTACTATGATTGGTTGAAAACACAACAATCTGCATAAGATTACAAAGATCATTTCAATGACTGATTTATATTTCCCTATTTCACATTTATCACAGATCAAAGTATCATTCATTTTGATGTAAGACTAAGAATAAGGCAATGGCAAGAGACAATCAAACTTTCATTAGTTAGAAAGTAACCTCATTTTATATATACATATATCCACAGGAATGTACCAAACCAGTATTTTTACATGGAAGTCCAGACCAAAAACAAGAATTTAGAGAAGTGTTGTATTTATGTATAGAAACATTTTTAAGATGTCTTAGTCCATTTATGCCTTTCATCACGGAAGAGTTATATCAACGATTACCAGACAAGGCAGATAAATCTATCAGTATTTGTGTAGCTCCGTACCCTACAGTCTCTCGGGTTTGTGTCTTTTTTTAAATTTTGTCTGTCTTGGAAGCATCTTAAAATGCAAATTCAAACCACTATGCAAAACATTTTTAAATTTTAATCCACATGGACCTGTCAGTGAGCATTATGACCAGATGACAAATTTAATAGATGTTTCTGTTTAGTCTTTAAAGCATGCTGGGATCAAAATGAAATAATCTAAGAACTGATAACATGAAAAATAACAATAAAATAAAATGCTATTCTTCAACTGTTGTTTCAGTATAACTATAGAAATATAACTATAGAAAATAAGATTAAAGAGGTTCAAACAATAGTTAGTAATGTATTAAGAATGAAATTAGATTATAAGTTAAAGGTGCCTAAACCTGGTTAGTTTAAATATTCACTATATTATCCTTTAAAGAAATAAATTTTGATGTTACTCAAAGTTTCATGCTGTGCAATCTTCAGTCAACTTAACTTGCTCAGACCACCCAAGTTTAACAAGAAGCACTTGTTCTCGTGTCTGTGCAAATTATTATAATAGTGAAGTGTATGTCAATGTGCCAGTGTATAATTCTGTATGCAAATAGATATTATAAAAACTTTTGTCATGTCTTTTAGTCTATATCCTAGTAGCCAATGACGAAGACTGGATGAATGAATATAAAAAGACCATAAAAACATTATCCAGATCAGAATCTGTTACCATAATAACTAATAGATCAGAAATTCCTGACAATTGTAGCTATACTTATATTAGATCAGATCTGGAAATATTCCATCATGTTCAGGTTTGGATCTTAATTTATTAGCTTTCAAAAAAAAATTGGAAAACCTTTTAATTGTGAGAAACATTGTCATTCCATCTTATCCATAGAACTTTTTATATCGTGAGGCCGTGTGTGATGATACTTTGGGATTTGCTGAAAATGTGGAAAAATGCCTTAATATTTAGAAAAATTGAGAATATTGAGATAAGTCTTTTTCAAATGAATGCTTTTCAGTCCTTCCCAAAACTTTACACTTTTTCATTGCATTTATTGCACATGACTGAAAGTATCTTAAAACTTGTGATATTTCCAAAAGTACATATTTTTGTAATTTTAGTATGTTTTGCTATTTTTAGAATTTGTATGACAGGAACATAGAAACTTCAAGGCTGAATAAACTGAATGATAAAATAGAAGCCAAGATACAACAGATAGATGATATATTAACAACAGATAGTGATAATCAACACCTACAACAAAAGGTATTTTGATGATTTTAGTAAATCTTTTGATAGATTGTGGAGTGAATTTGATTTGTATTTAAATATTAGGATGTTTAAGATAGAGTATTGGAGTATTGGTATATTACCATGAACTTTTCATGGATTTTGAAGCTGGGCTCTACTATGATTCGTTCCAAATCAAAGTAAAGCCAAATATCATTGACATCTGACACAAGGGGTTATTATTATTGTTTGTCAAGGATTTGGATAAGGTTTGATTAATAATCAGATTGAAAAATGGCTATAGAGAAAGTGTAACAATCTTTTGTCATATGTGTCAATGTGGATGTGAATTGATCATTATTTAAAGTCCATATCAATCTTTTCTTTTCAGAAACAATTATTATTGGATGAACGTGAAAGATCAAAACAATTTATACAAAAATCAGAATACTGATTAAAAGACTTTCATTCAAAGTGTGTTTTTGTGGCATTGTGCTACCACCTGTTGTGCAATCGGGTTTGTGCAAGGACTATGTCAATAGAAATATTTTTTCATGACATGAGGAGGATAAGAATCTACACCAAATTGACTAGAAAACAATAGTTTCTATGGTGATAGTTATTTAAATGTAGGGCCTATAGTTCTGTTTGAACACGTTTCAATTGGATAATAAGGCCACCATTTGGGTAAACGCCCTCAACGTAAAATAATGGACATAGAGCTATTTGATTTTAATTAAAAACAACTCTATTTAAATTCAAATACTTATATTGTCACATAATAATCTGTACAAAAATATAAAATAAATCTCATAATCTATTCTACTAAATATGTACAATCTACACCTAGTGGATAATTGTATGCAGTTGTTTTAATTTTCCATCTATAATTGCAACATTTGTAATGAAAGTTGCCTTTATGAATCAAATGATCTTGGTTTGCTTGATAAAAATCATTCTATATAAAGTTTGTATATGCCGAATGATAAAAACACTGGCGACACCTATTTCAATGGTTCATCATAATAATCATCATAATCCACTTCGCCGTCTGGTGATTCGGAATCTTCACTTAATAAACCTCTAGGAATGAATTCTGAAATTTTAATATGAAAAATAATTGAAAGCTATTTATTCAAATAAAAAACTTTTATATTGAATGCTGGTCCATTACAAATGACATTTTTGCCGCTTTCAAAACAAAGCCATTTCATAAATCATGTGCTTGGGACCAGATAGCGCCATTTGTTTGGTTTGATACCACGGGACCATAGGGCCTTTCAGACCTGTTGTAGGTACAATGTTTCAGCATGCCTATGCACATTTCCAATTTCGAAGGAGAGTTAATCACTTACCATTACATCTGTAAACTAGATCGGACCAGATGACCATTTCTTGTGAAAAACAGAAGACACCCAATCTTCCACCACGTAATGTTGTATCATAAACATTACCCGAATCAGCTACCAGTTCAGTGTCTTCAAAAAATAATACCCTAAAACGAGAAAATGATAAAATAATGATCCATGGTCATGACTCCGTAAATTAATCAGCAATTAAAAGCCAATAGGTGCTGTGGGTGGAAAAGAGTTGTGCTGTGTGAGATCAAGAGCCATTTGAAGCTTTACGTGGTTCTGAGTCTCCTTGGTCGCCCTTGCCTAGTGTCTGATAATATTTCAACTGTTGCCGACCAAGCTCCTTCCACCAGTTTTGGACGTGGGTCTGGCCAAGGAATCCATCTTTAATTTCAATGTATATAGTATGTAATTTACAAACACCGCCATAGGAAATTTCATTCATGAGACTTTTCCTATGTCGATAGTATAGTACTAAGCCATTATTAATATTACCTTATTAATCCTATGGACGGTCTGTGAATCAGTTCCCAGCGATAAGCAGTTTTATCTTTCCATCCTACATTCCTGGGATCTTTCCAGAGTAGCTTTACCTGCAAGAACACGAGCAATATATTTGAAGAAGATGACACAAAAGCAGCCTTGAGAATTTAAAAAAAGATGCATTTAAGTTAAGTGAGAAACCAGCTGTGGTGACGCTAGGATTTATACCCGAAACGCTCTTGACTTTGGACAGTACGAAAAAGTCCTACTTTGACCGTGCTTACCTGTCTCGAAGTGTCTCCTGTATGCCACAATGAATTTCGTAAAACTTCTCCGGGACCAGTGTCTGATTTGACTAATTTCAATTGAATACCAGGTTCAGCTACTGCTCGGAACGGTGTAGGATGCCAATAAGTCTGGGTCACCTTCTTCCACATTACAACATAGAAACTAGAACTATCCTGATAACTGAATATGAACCCAGCATAATCATCGTCAACTTCCGTATTCACGAAAAATGTTCCACTGAAATCAACCCCACTAAAGGTATTATAACCTGAAATAAGACAATAATTTTCAGTATGATATCAAAAGAATGTACCGAGGTCGTATAGTGTGTCGACCGAAATGGATCACGATGAGTATACTTACTGACAGCTATTCCAGGATCGCTGTTCATAGTCTGTACTATCTCGGCTCCCTGAAAGAAAAAGTCGTTTTATTATTCAAGAAGACTGTTATTAGATCTTTTCATGGTCCAAAATTTTATTTTCAGTTGCCAGTATTTGCTATACTAAAAAGGCATCAACGGTTGTCGATATATATAAGTAAATTTATAAGTATACCTAAATCTAGCAATATAATTTTTTCATTGCTTTATAGCTGATTCTTACAATACTCACCGCACAGGTCAACAAACCTTGATTCCATTCTTCAAAAATTATATATTTATTCATATGGGTCGATCTATTTTTCAGAAAACCATGCAACGATAATAGCACAAACCTTATTTAGAATGAGCCAGTTCGGATCAATTTGTGAGTCACCTTCTGGGTCTAGTACAATTGTTTGATAGGCTCTAAAATCGGTAGCATATATTTCACCATTGAGTGGACAGACATCCAAAAGATCCGGATGACCATCACCATCCATATCATTCTCACAAGCATCACCGACGCCATTTCCTAAAATTACATTAAATAGAAGATTCGCATTAAAATGATCATTTGCTGCAGCCAATATGTTGGTCTGAATTTGGTAGTCCCACAACCCAAATATCATGATGGTGGATTGTCATCCAAGACAGTTGGCAATAAATTATCCACGAATAGATTTTATAGATCTACAAATAGAGATTGAAGATTCACAAATTCAGTTGTATCTACATGGTCGCATACGTACTATCTGAATCTAGTTGATCCTTATTTTTAACCAGTGGACAATTATCCAGTTCATCAATTATGTTATCATTATCATCATCATTATCACAGGCATCACCTTCAATAGACAAAATTCTTACATTTAGTTAACTATAATCAATTTCAAGAACATCTACCAGCATTTAGTTAAAAGCTCTTCATTATGGACAGAAGAGCTGCATTGATTATTTCCGACATGAAAGGAGTCAAGTTGTTCGAGGCTTCATTTGCTACATACAATGTCAACTAAAGCAGAAATCAGCATAGTGACAATCCTTAATTCTAGCACTTTATTAATTAACCTACCTATACTATCTTTATCAGTATCTTGTTGATCAGCATTGGGCTGAGTTAAACAGTTATCTTTATTATCCTGGACACCATCTCGATCTCTGAATAGTACAGAATTAGATTCTCATGCAAACAAGAATAGTTAAAAAGGGTTCGAAAAATAATATCGTATTGCTTTCCAATATTCCCATGTTTCAAGTTAATCTTTCTTCGCAAGCTTCTTTTTTTCAATGAATAATCGGTATTTGTTTGATTGGTTTAAGCGGAAGCTAGACTTATTATATTCGTAAGTTATCAGAAAACACAGCGATGAATTACAGTTGGATTTTCTGGAAGTTGTGAGTTAGTAAAGAATGACATTGTAATGACATTATGTAAAGGAATGGTACTTACATATCATTACCAGTATCACAGACATCACCTATCAGATCATCATCAATATCAGACTGGTCTTTATTTTGTTTCTTTGGACAGTTATCACAAGCATCACCAACACCGTCACCATCCACGTCAGACTGGTCATAATTTACTACTTTAACACAGCTGTCATTTTCATTGAGAATTCCTACAAAACATTTGTTGAGCGTATATAATTCTGTGTATGAGGTTAACAACAACCTTACGTCATTCTATCTTTTCACAATGCTCTACTCTTTCCAGCAACACAAGAAGTCAGACGTTAGCTAGGGATTTCACAAAAAAAGAGGCCGTGAGATATACCACAACGTCTTGCAAACTCCTGAACTTTTCTACCCATTTCTATATTTTGAGACAAACAGATTCGATACTGAAGGATAAATGTGCCTTACCATCGTTATCAATATCTGGATCACAGTTATCACCAAGGTTATCCGAATCAGTATCTGTTTGATCTGGATTAGGAACAGTTGGGCAGTTATCACAAGCATCCCCTGTCTTATCTGGAGCTGTTTCTGAATCGGCCTGGTCTGGATTGGCCACCAATGGACAGTTATCCTAAAACACATTATTCATATTTTGATATATATCATAGAATAGTGGTGAATATATACTTGTATACAAGAATTAAATGCTCGATGGTATAAGTTGAATTATAATGGTATACGAAATGAGGTCATCGTGTATATCACGATTATTTGCCACAGAACTGCTACTCTTATCGATATTTACCTAAACCAAATATACAATAAAGCAACTCATACCGGATTATTGACAATGCCATCATTATCCATATCCGGATCACAAGCATCACCTATCTGATCTCCATCAGCATCTTCTTGACCACTGTTTGGTGTTTCAATACAATTATCCTAAAATCATAAAACCATATTCCTACTGATAGTCAATTGATCTATTATAATCCATAATCCACTTTTTACAGGTGATGCTCTAAAGCTTCATCATAACTGATTGCATACCATAAGATGGATCAATCTAGTTAATCAGCAAGTCTGTGAAGTTCTCGATTCACACGATCAGAGATACCGATTGGAACATAAATGGATCAAAAACCTGATCAAGCTACATTTCTCAAGGTCTCGTGACATAACATACCTTCCTACACTGTCTACCTCTACATCCTAGATCTATATCTGGTATACCATCTAAATCTGTATCTCTATGACAGATCTTCCCGTCTCCAGCATATCCCACCTTACACTTAAATAAAAATAGACGCTCTTTAAATATTATTAGTTGTTAATATGGTACAGAAAGATTCTAAAGAGGTTGCTCTCTTTTAGCGACACCATACATTTTGGCCCTTTGCCGAAGGATTATGTATTTATGCAGCTTCAAGTTTTATATCGCAATTCATTTCATGGTTACGTTTTTGTTTGGCAACATATTGCCCGGCTCTTTCAGTAGCCTACCTGACAAATATACTCCCGTTGTCCACGTCGTTTAACACACTTAGCATGCTCTGAACACTTTGTTTTACCATCAGGACACAGGAGACCATTAGTTTGACATCCTATTGTTTGATTTCCCATAAAACCTTCCATACAATCACCACATCGATAGGAACCCTGCAAGACGAAATAAAATAATCATCCCGAGTTACATGTATGTATGTATATGAAGGTTCTTACCATGATCATCGTTTTCACTTTTGATAACAAATGATGAGTTTGTGCCTGCATTTTTGCGTTGTATAAAAGAACACCACGCTAACGCTCACTATATCATTCAAGATGATTGTTTTAACCATTTTTCTTGGATCCTATGGCCAATAAGAAATGTACTTACTGGTGTATTGATACAAATAGAGTTAGGTACACAACCACCATTCCTACCATCTTCACATTCATTGATGTCTTGGCAAACCTAAACAGGTATAGTCAATTAACTGTATACATCATGTAGTTTATGTACCAAATGCAAGACAGAATTTCAACCAAGATACACGTAATTCAATATTTTACCATGGTTTCATATTCCATTCAAGTGACTGAACATTTTCCTTAGGATCAAATAGCATATAGAATTGAATGAAAAGGTAGCAATCTCATTTTATGTTCTAATATACGTGTAAACTTGTCGACAATGAGTAACGAACTAACAAACCTGTTTTTGTGTTTTAGCGCTCTCGATGCCTACACCTTGCACTGGAGGACTAGTATAACCTGGTGGACAAGATGTACAGGTAAATCCTGGCGATAGATTCTCACACATAGCTAGAGCATCACAAGGTCTACTGTATCTACACTGAAATTACCAATATGAGATTCAAATGTCAAATATCATCTTATGGCAGAGTCATTACATTTTGAATAATTAATATAACGTTATATTTAAAGACATAGAGCTAATCCCGGAGGTATACAATTAGAGCACAATCTGTGTACATGACAATACAAAAGTTGAAAACGAACTGAGTGTACTGGAACAGAAGTGTTCTGCAAATCCCAATCCCAAACATTGCAACAGTGGCGTATCTAGGATACAACAGGGAGGGGGACGGAACGAGCAGAGCCCACAACAGTTTCCAGGGCTCCACAGACCATTCTTTCACTTTGCCAAATGATAAAAATTTAAAAGTGGGAGGGGAGGGGAGGGGGCAAAGCCAGGTCAGCTTCTAAGCCCGACTGTTCTGACGTCTAAGAAAGCAAGCCTTACCTCATCAATATCCTCACAATGTGTACCATTACCAGAGTAACCAGTTGGACAAGCACCACATCGGAAACCGCCAGGCATATCTTCGCACCTCACTCCAGGAAAACATGGTCTCGAGGAGCAAGACTGGCGAACTGGACGGCAACCTTGTCTAGAACCATCACCAGAATAACCAGGAGGACACGCTCCACATCTAAAACCTCTCTCAGTATCTACACAACGCACTCCTGAAATTAATGAAAGGTATAAAATTAAAATAAATTCGCTTGGTCATCACTTTCTCGCCAGCGCCAACCTTCTACATTCAAATCATAGAGGACATGTTTTTGTAGTCGTGGACAGATCAACTGGTTCCTTACTTGTCTCTGCTCTTAATGACTCTTAATTTAGTTTAAAAATGAAGTAAAATGAAATACTTCTAACCAATAAGTCTTACCTGGGAAACAGGGTCTATCAGCACATGTTGTATAACGATTACAAGTAACACCATCGCCGTGGTAGCCACGTGGACATGAACCACACCGGAAGCCCTCCTCAGTGTCAATACATCTGACACCCTGGAAGCAAGGATCAGATGAACATCGCCTAATGTTGGGTCTATCACCTAAACAAACACAACATGGTAAGAACTAAACCGAAATAAAGCGAAAATCAAATTTAAGGCAGTGTCAGATGACCTAATTTAAATGAAAAATTGACATGTGTTGACCTAGATATCAGGGAACATACTGACCTCGACACATGGCACAGTTGGCGATAGCTTCACGTAATGCTTTAGTTTCTTGAACCTAAAATACAGAATTTAAATTGTAAACCTACTGCAAACGGAAACAGCAGGGGAACCAACAATAACACAAACATGTATGGAATGTATTCTTAAAGCATTTACACGCATTAATTCATGTAACAGAATGCCAAGAATTTCTAACTCTAATTTGCCCTTGTCGACAATAACGCCAGATGCCCATTTGTGGATTTGTCCTCATTATTCAGACATCGCCTCTTTCGGTACGGCTAATAGAAAGTTAATTGAATTCAAATTTACCTGTGAAGTCATGTGATTTTTTAATTCTTTTACTGTGCCCGAGAGAGCATTAATGGCCGCGATCATCTTCATGTAAGGATCTGTAAAGATATTTAACTTTGAGACGATGTGGCGTTGTAATATGTGAACGACGTCGGGTGATAGCTCATTTTGAGGTTATAAACACCACTTCGTGAGATCAATACAGTATAACTGGGAAGAGATCCTGGAGCATTATATACTCTCTATGTCATTATCGTTCTTCTATCATTCCTTTATGATTTGTACAAGTCAAATTCTAACCCTTTGTAAGCAAAAACAGAAAGGACTGACGAGCGCAAGCTAAAGTAACAGAGTTACTAAACAATTTTAGTTTGTGATCACCGATTTAACATGTAAAGTGTAATTCCTTACCAGATCCCCCTTCATTGATGACAGTTAATTTGGGTTTCTCAGTAGGTCTGGGTTCTTTAGAACCACCAGACAAATCTGGTATATTACGTCGTGGTGAGTAACGACCTGATGCCCATTCTGGTATCTCTAACTTCGGAGATTCTGTTGTGGTGGTCATTCTGTAAGATTCTCGTCCACATCGTTGAGCTCTAAGTTGCATTTCTAAGGATGAGCTGGTATAGAATTGAAAATCTGGATGTTTTCTCTGAATTACAATAAATAAGATTAACATTTTCCACAAGTAGAGAAGCAATCAGAACAACAGATGACTTAAGTAATGGTCACTATTGTTGGTCGACGTCCTTTGTTTTTCTGGAAATGTCAGTCTCTATCGTGTAAAGGAGGCTTTTTGGTGCTGTCTTTTTCAAACATAAAGAATGGTGGTTCAACAAAAAGGACTGAACTCAAAAAGTCACCCGCAACCTATTCAATTTGTTTGTATTTCCATTTTAAAAATCTTTGAATATCCCACCTCCAAATGTCAGGGAAGTTTGTTTTAGTTCTTCTTACAGACATACCCAAAATATGCTTTACATGTGTGGAAATTGGAACAGGATCGTTCCGACATTGGTTAAGTTGACTTAACACTTGGTTAACTGTTATAAAGTAGGTTAATTGACCAAATTCATTGAAATGACATGTACTAATAAAGACCTTAACTTTAACGCATTATAATAGTATTTCAGGTGAAGATATGTTAACTATTAAAAGTTTATTCGGTTATCCTGTGGCTATAGTGTAATGTTCCAGATAAAACGACTTAAATATTGAAAGCAATGCAAATGGTAACCCATATTCTCAATGTCAAAGAATAACCATAAAATCGAACAGAATTGGTTGTCTTACCACAGTGACGTCGCCTCGGAGCAACTGTCTAATAGGGACCTCTGTTTTATCAACTCCTAATCCTTCACAGTCCATAAATAACCTCACAGAATTAGACGGCATGGCTAGATCGTAAAAATGTAACAGAAATCGTTTGGTGCGACCTTGATGTAAAGATCTGGTAGGAAACGTCAGTTGGTGCTCTCTTCTATCTTGAGTTCGCAACCGCACCACAACTGGAAGTAAAAATGATCATTAAATTTCAGATGATGCATCTCAATCAAGGATTAGAACGAATGTAAGCTAAGTTAATTGCATAGCCAGCGAGGGTGGTTTGGTGAATGAGCAATAATGCATTAGATGTCATAACTATTCTGTTTGAAAATTCCATTGCTTTACCTTGTGGTTGTCTGAAATCAACTGATATTTCAAATACAGTATTAAGTTGCTGACTGGTAGCTCGAACTAATACAAAACGTCTTCTAGTACTCTGGGATGTCCTCATTTCTCCAGATAGAAACACTTCATTATATCCCGAGAATGCAGCGGCGACGTTCGACACTGAAACGTATATGAAAATATCGTAAATGTAAGGACAAGATAAATTTTGGATTGACATGTAAGTAGTAAAATCCGTACAAGCAAGACAATTCCGTTAATCACAGTTTAAAGATTAACCAAGGTGCTTTTTGGGGTCTTTCAGGATGATCAATTATGGGATAGGCTACCCCTATAATGTGGTATAAGCTTATTCAAAAGACTCTTTTGATATGAAACCTTCCACTCTTCAATTTTAACGGATTCGTTAAAACAGTGTTACATTAATAGCTTGTGTACCATTATTTCTAATAAATCAAGGTGGCATCGGACGTCAACTTTGCCAGGTGGAAAAAGCCTTGTGTTGAAAAAATCCATTAACCTTTGGAAATGAATAGTGAACCACGTCTTACCATGCTGAAATACATCTGTTTGATTTTAGGCAATAAAAGAGTGCCGATCGTTATACCTCCCAATGGGAATGGGTATAAAGTATATTACATTAAATTCATAATTTCCTTTACTGTACCTCACTAATGTCGACAAATTTCCTCAGATATTACCCTTTTACTTATTTTGTATGTAAAGGATCTGTGTTATAGTTTCCATATTTCGGACAACTGCTTTTAAGACGTGGAAGGCATTCAATAATTGATCATATTGAAAATTTTGAGATGCTATTAGTGGTTCGGTATTCATAATGTTCAAAAATTGTCCGAAGTTTGACATTTACAAGGGATATGTGTCACAGAATGCCCCGTCCCACCTTTGTTCTATTTTTGGCTGGAATGTTTTTCGCTTGTAACTTACACTTCTTACCCCTTCCTGAAGGTTACCATTACTTTAATGTCAAAGGAACTAACTATTTTACAGACTTTTAAGTTTTTTAAGAACGATTTTAAAAAAAAGTTTTTGTTGGAAAAATTTTGACGGTAAACCTTTGATAACAGAATTATGCAAGCTGTATTCAGAATGATTCATAGCAATTTTCAGACGGTTGAAAAGTCCTTCCTGGCCGCAAACAATACTTATTACCATACTTGCATAAATCAGTTTTAAAGAATCGGAAATAAGTTGCAGAAATATATCATACAAAAGAAATGCAATTCCTGCAGTTATCTCTTGTCTCTCGTTCAGAACGCTTCAGATGGTTGATCTTACTGAACGCAGACAGGAGATAATAAATAAATTGCCAGACAGAGTTCGATCCTGTAATATGCAAACGCAATGGGGTAACTCGCTAGCTGTTTGATATTCAATGCCTTGATAAATACATCAAAAATCAAGTACTAAATCCCCTGGTGACGTTCGATTTAATTCCATGGTCACACATAATGCACTGAGAAGGAAATGCTTTGACTTACCTTGTTCGCCTCGTTCATCTCGCATTTGAGCTGAGCAATAAGTAACACTTATTATTATCACAAATAAGTTACAGAATCCTACTTTCTTCATGGTTTTTCGATATTTATACAGACTTTAATCCAGAAATTGAGAATTAAGGCACAACTGTGTCTAGCCTGTCACATACCATTTAGGTTAACTCTAAAATCTATTGACGGGTTACGCACTTATTGCATCTTTCAGAAAGCCTCGATCATTTTAACATGAATATACTTCCAGATACAATACATATATATTGGAATTGTGAGAGTAATACTGGCGATATACAGTTCCTGATGTATGATATATAAATGGTATATGAGGTCGTTTAAGAATATATTATATGTAGTATACAGCTAGCCCTACATGTAATATAAATATTCAACGTTCACCCTTGTCATCAAGTCTCACAATACACATAACAATTGTCCTAAGTTTGATAATCGAGACACAGTTCTAGTTGAAAAGTTTTGAAGGAATAAGCCTGGTATTAATTCTTACAGCATGTGCTAGCAATTGGTTCTCAAACAGTCCCCACCAAGTCGTCACAGCGAACAATACTTGAAAACAAATGTTGTTTACATTACTAAGACACGGGCGTTAACTTCTGACTTTGAAAGGGTATCAATTTAATTTAAACGGCATTTATGAAGCTTTTGAAGTTCAAATCATTTATGGAAACACTTGTAATTCACATAAATTGATTTATTTATGTAATGTATTTAATGAGTTTAGACTAAAATTGTTGAGATGCAATGGACACCTAATTTCATCTAAATATTTCTCGTGACCTTGTGGCTCGGTCTCTCCATTAAAGATGGGTTCTCTTATTTTATGAAAATGAAAATGCTAATACTTATATGAATAGAAAGTAGGGGTGTTCTAATGACTTGGAAAAAGTACCAGTTTGTCTCACATAATTAATTGATAGTTATAATATAGAAGAGAAGTAACAAAAGAATTCAGCTGA